ATTGTCGGTAATTCTACCAACATTATTGCAGTTTGTTGAACCTGATTGCTTTCCTTTGTCCATGCGTTGTATGACCCCTACGGGTTTAGCGCTTCGCAATAATAATAATAATGAATGAACACTGCAGCAGGCCTTATGACCTATGCTAGGCAAGTTCAACTCTCACCCACCCATACCCACGCATATACCCGGTTAGGTAAGGTTCGTCAGGAAACACCCCTCAAGGAAGGTTCCTTGATGTTGGTGAGGGGCTCTTGATTTAGGGAATTGGATCTGTGCTCCAGTTCCCCGAATTAAGCCTGAATGCCTTCCACATCCCCCCCCCAGGCGCTGTATAATCCTCCGGGTTTAGCGCTTCCCCCTTGATTATAATAATAATAATAATAATAATAATAATAATAATAATAATCGTCAGGAAACAGGACAAGTGTCTCCAGATGCGGGTATATTTAAAGCTACTGCAAAGGTCTTGCTTCAGTGACGCTATTTGAAAGTTTGTTCCATCCATCTACAACTATTGCCAAACCAGTATGTCCCTATATCCTTTCTAAGTCTACATTTGTCTAACCTGAATTAATTGTTGCTAGCCTTGTCTTGGTTAGATATTTTCAGCATAATATTTTTATCTATATATATTCTTGTTTTCCATTTTTTTTTTTTTTTTTTTTTTTTTTTTTTTTTTACTGACGCTGGTGAGGGGCTCTTGATCTAGGGAATTGGATCTGTGCTCCAGTTCCCTGAATTAAGCCTGAATGCCTTCCATCCCCCCATAGGCGCTGTATAATCCTACGGGTTTAGTGCTTCCCCCTTGATTATAATAATAATAATTTCCATTTTTACATTAAAGTCATATCGCCCCGAATTCTACGTCTTTCCAAAGAGTGCAAATTCAGTGCCCTCAGCCTACCTTGATAGGAAAGGTTTCTGAGATATGTAATCAATTTAGTCATCCTTTTCTGTATATTTTCTAGCACATGTATGAACACTACATTATGGAGATCAGAACTGAGCAGCATAATCTGAATGAGGCCTTAAAGCTGATATATAACCTTAGGACTTCTGTTATTTATACCTATTCACATAAAGCTCTGTTAGTTTTATTACGAACACTTATGCACTATTGTCTTGGCTTTAAGTTTCTGCTAATCAGAACTCTTAAATCTTTTTCGCATTCACTTTTACCTAGGTTTACTTATTTAGCTCATAAGTGCCTTAGTTCTTTTCTTGTCTACATTGAACTGTGTCTGCCACTTCTCTGGCCCCAGCATATATTTATCCAGGTTATCCTGTAACTTTCTGGTGTCCCCATAAATTATTTGACGGCTTATTTTAATGTCATCGACAAACTTATGTTACTAATCTGTGATGGATGTGTGGGCCAGTGTGCCAGCAGCAGCAAGTCTGGTTGATCAGGCACGCACCAGATAAGTCTGGTCCAGGTCCAGGCTGAGAGAGTTAGAAAACTCTCGAAACTCATCAAAAGGTATATGTTATGTTGCTGGGTTACTAAAGCATCTGTGTGATGAATGGTTTGAAAAACCGACAAGTTGAAGATTGAGACACTTATGCAACATATGGGAATCTTTGTTCAGGAATAAAGATTCCCATATGTTGCATAAGTGTCTCAATCTTCAACTAAAGCATCTCACATATGTCTCTAGCCGTAGACGTAGAAGCAAACTTTTATTTTAAAAGTTAATGGAAAGAACACAAATGTTCAGCAAAATTTGTTTTATTATTTCTTAGTTACAGTTTTCAATCGCTGTAACAAGACAATGAGGTAACTCAGTTATCTTTACCAGATGGCAGATGGGCTCTTGATCCAGGTTATTGGAACTTTCCTCCCCTTAGTAACAAAAGAGATAATCTTGCAGCACTAATTAGGGAACGCTTATTAATAAACTTATTGTACGAAAATGTATTGTGCATT